CCTGCCCGCGCAGGAATCCTCACTCCAATAAATAGACAACCTGGCAAGGGAACCAGAGGAAAGGGACTCGTCGGACCCACAACAGGAACAGAAACGGGAGAGAAGTCTTAACCTGAATTAGTATCTTCATAGCTAATAAAAAAATAGGTCATGATCTCACCCTTAGTGCCACTTTCTGATACTACACGTATTTAAGGGTTTTTGTTTTACAACTTACTTTACTCAGTGTAATGAAAACAATGGCACAAATAAATACACGCTCACGCTCCTCAGGTAAGATGCTCGTACACACACACCGCCAGCTCCTCGCTCGCCCCCCCCCGCACGCGTGCACGCACAGACACCCTTGGGTGCAGACCCAGGAGAGGAGGCTGCTGCACCCCCTCCCGGGCTGTATTTGGTTTATGCTACAGTACTAATACTCTGAGTCAAACAAACAAACAAAACAAACCCCAAACATGAGACTTATCAGTAACACCTTAGCATTATTTAAGTGTGCTAAATTAGTCACAGCTCAATTTGTTGGTTTTTTTTTATCCTTTTTCTTTTTTTATAAGTTTACACAAAAATAATCAGAAAACAGGTTAAATCTTAAGATATTTTTAATAAGTGCTCAGTAAAGAATTGCGTGAGGACTTCGGGAGGACTGCAGACAGCAACAGGGTGAGTTACACAATGGCACGAGGAAGTTTCTTCCACGGTCCTGCCTGGCTCTAGGCAATAGTCTATCCCAAAAACACCACCCGTGCTGGCTGCAGGAGCTCAGAGAGAGGATTTCCTAACTGCTTAGCGCTGAGCACACGCCGTGGAGCTCACGGAGACAGACAGACAGACATTTGAAGAGAGGATGGTTAGAAACACAGCAGAGAAGCTGCAGAGGGTCTCTGGATGGGTACCACCGGCAAGGGGCCACACACAGCGAGGAAAAGCAGTAGGGACGAACATCAGGGGAAAAACCAACCCAAGCCATCGCTTGAACCGTGTTTCTTTCAGAATTTCTTTTGCTATTTAGAAGACGGACTGGACTAGGCCAAGATGAGCGTCCTCAAATATTCAGCAAGACTCGGATCTTTCTAAAGGCGCAGGGTCAGATTCAGCATGGGTTATTGCTGTTCAGCTTCTGCGTCACACCAGCCCCGAGGGCAGATCTGGGGCACCAGGACAGCGCAGACCCCAGGTAAGCAAAACAGGGTTTGTTTTTGTCTTTTTTTTTTTTTCCTTTTTTTTTTTTTCTTTTAATGGAACCCAGCCCTTAAGGCGACAAGTGACTACACAAGGCAAATAAATACACAGCAGAGCCTTAAAGCCAGTAAAACAAACTGGAAACTTTGCTATTAGCCTTCAACTTTTTGAAAATAATAATAAAATTTAAAAAAAAAAAAACAACCCAAAACATTTCTTCTACCTTAAGTCTTCCCAGTCCCACCATCCAGTTTGTTCAACACTTTAAAGCTCAGGAACACCCCGGCTCTTCCGCAGCGGAGCCGGAGGCGATTCCGACTTTTGGCAAGCAGTTGGGAGACTCAACAGAATTAAAAATAGGAACATCAGAGGACTAGATGTCGGGCACATCTGTAAACATGTTATACATCTGCAAGTTACGCACACCTGTAGAGGTGGTACAGTTTATAGGTGAAACAGAACTATTTGCGACTGGCCAACCACACATTTCTGAACCTGGACTGATACGATACATGATTACTATATAGTATTACACTACAGTATTATACTATATAGTATTTTATACATAAAATGGAGTAGGCAATCCATAGTCAAACTTTTAAAACTAAGCGTGGCAGAAAGCTAGCAATCTTACAAAAGGTACAGAATTAAGTTTCATTGTCCCACCATGAACCTAAGCGTCTCATTCAGGAACAATCTTATTAAAAGAATAAAAACAATTAAAAAAATGCATGCTACATACTCCTAGTTAACAAAAAAAAAAAAAGCGGATAAATCTAAGCAACAAGGGGTAGGCAAAAGTTTTGGGCTTATCTGCTTCCTGTAATGCCCCATAGGGTCCAGTCTAGTATTTGGAGACACCAGCTGCTGCTGACCTCAATGCCCAGATGTTTATCAGCCAGTATTCAGCCACAAACACCCACGATGAGCGCTGGGTATGTGTGGAGCTCGGGCAGGTCAGAAAACCCATTTTTGCTTCATTATTCATTGCTCGCTCTTACACTGGACCCTGTGAACTTTCCACCTTTAAAAAAAAAACAACCAAAAAAAACCAAAAACACAACCAAAACCCCAGAAAAACTACCCAACCCCAAGATGATTTGGAATTGGCGCGCACTACACAAGCTGCAATGGGACAGAGCGGGTTACACAGCTGGAGCCTGCACTCTGCTCAGCCTTCTCTACCACTGCTAGGAAGCTTTCCTTTCCTTGGGAGGTTTTTTTTTTTAATTTTTAAATTATTATTTTCATTCCTAAGTCCTCCATTTTTGTAATAAAATATATTTTTATTAAGAGATAATTAGAAGCAGAGCCCGGAGATACACAGACTGCATTAAAATATAAAAGAGGATTTCCAACAGGCAGGTGCGGGGAGGCCCGCCAATGGCGCTCTATGGACAAATGGAAAAGGATTCAAATTCCCATTTTTCTTTTTTTTTTTTTTTTCATTTTTTCATTTTTTTTTCTTTTGAAATTTTTTTAAAGAGAAAAAAATAATTCAAGAAGGGTGGAAGTTAGCAGAACTCAATTCTTCAGTTTTCCAATGAAAATGGGAAAAAAATCCGGCACATTTAGTGTTAGGAGACAGACAGAGCAAATATGAAGCACCTACAGTTGAAAGCAGAAGATACTTTTTTTTTTTTGCTCCCAGTAATACAACGGCATTAAATTGTGGGAACAGTGGGTTTTTTGTTGTTTTTTTTTTTTTTTTTCCATTTTAAATGCCTAAACAGATTGCTTAATTTTGCACATTGTCTTTTAAAATGAAAGAACTCTTCAGTTGCAATAGTCCAACGTGTAACCGGAGCCAAGTCAACTGTGTGACTTCACCATGCATCCTAGAACTGCAGTATTACCATCTTTCCCCCAGAAGGATGATGCTTTAAGACAATATCCCCAGCATAGGATTGGCTGCTTTACTCCTGGCAAAACATGCGGATTATAATTCTCTGGAAAAAAAAAAGAAACTCTGCAAACTTCAAGGCGTTTCTCCAGCATTCAATGGAAAACAAAACAGAAAAAAACAACAAATCAAAAACAAAATAAAAATGGGGAGGTGGAAGGGAAAGGGGAGATGAAGGATGGTGAATCATCCTGATGTCCCTGTGATTAGTGTGTCACTACAGTCACAGAACAAGAAACAGAAACCTTGTCAAGCGGAAATGCCTCTCCAGTGGGTTGCTGTTGCCCGTGTAGACGACAGCAGAAACTTTAGAACCGGGCTTGTAAATTGAGTCTGTATTCGTTAATCACTTGCATTCACTCTTTAAACAAAAACAAAACAAAAAAACGAAAAAAATCTATTCAGTACCGGAGATTAAATAATCACGTGTGTAGTCTCGTTGAAATAAATTTTCAGATTCCTTAAGAAGTCTAATTACTTTCAGTTGCCTTTTTTAAATAACTATATATATATTTGTATATATTATCCTGTGATTCTAGTTATGGTTCCTCTGCTGCACTGAAGATTTAGAAGGAGCATAAAAGCCTTTTGTCCCCCACGAACAGCACAAATGCTGCAGAAAGGTTATAACAGGCAGTCTCGTCTTGCTACCTTCATTGATCCGGGCGATCCATGGCTTCATCGTAAGTGATTATCCTTTTGGGATCTGGAAAGAAAAGAAAATCTTAAGTTTCTGGTGACTTTCAGGACCCGTGGCAGAAGACATTCAGAAGAGATCTGCAAAGTACTCGGCCGTTAACAAACTTTTCGTCCCCGGTGACGGTCCGGGAACTAAGGGAGCAGCACTCGCCCCCCACGTTACACCCCTGGGCAGCAGCACACGCGTCTCCACTTACC